CCAAAAGGTAGTAGAATGGTACTTGATGGTACAGCCATTCCGAATGATAAGTACCACTGACTAGTGGTAGTGGGGCGCCAAGATGTTAAATGGTGCAAAAGGGGAAGGAGATGTAGAATAACAAAGCAGGCTAGTGACCAAGGGGAAGAGTGATCAAAATTGGGATTTAGATGAAGATGAAGGTTGTCTTCAGTGAAAGCAAGATCTACTATACATGATCATGAGTCTTTCTGTAAACTGGTGATGTAGATCTAGCAGTACTCTGAAGGGCCCCTGCCCCTGCAATCACCTTTGATATGCTGTCAGCCAAGTGTCTTGCAGCATTGATGACCAGATGGTAGAGAAAGAGGGCCAGTTGTTTTTGATTGTCCAGTTACTGGTGGAGGAAAAGTCTTAATTTCTCCCAAAGGAGTTTCTGACATGTAGCCATAGTGGATTGGTAATTGCTGATCCTTATTGCTGGTATTGCTGAGGAATAGAACCTGTGTCTCTTTAAGTCAAGTTTTCAACTCTTTCTACTCATTGGCAAAGAGTGGGCTTTCTGGTTTAATTTAGTCTGGTTTGTTCCACTACAAAGGCTAATGATGAAAATGATGGGTTGCTGGATGGCAACCATTTGGGGGGAGAGGCCTGATATGCTGAACAGCTTGATACATTTGTGATCATGGGTACAAGCCAGTCTTGAGAACTGGTACTATCAAATTGTCTGGGTCTATCTGAGATGGTATTGGGCCTCATATGTATGTGCCCAAGGCACTGAAAACAAATCCTTCTTTGATCTCAGGTGAGGCCCGGGGGACAACTTTCATTAGGTCTATAAGTGTAGGAATCACTCAGTGTAATGGATGTGGAGCCCAAACCAAACAACACTGTCAAGGGCATTGCAGACAATTTGCTAGATGCCTTGGACACCAAAATGGAGGCCATATGGAAGGGTCAAATTTGTGCTGCCTGCTCTGCAACCTTGAGTGATTGCTTTCAAATCGTCTTAGATTCGACTTTCTTAAACAGAGTCCTTGCTCAGTGAAGCCCTTGCAAATTATACATGGCTAGGGAAGGTGTGGATCCCCTCAGCAAAAGAGGCACTTAGAGTGCTGATCAGCTGGGGCAGTGCTCTCAACCTTGAGTGATTGCTTTCAAATCGTCTTAGATTTTACTTTCTTAAACAGAGTCCTTGCTCAGTGAAGCCCTTGCAAATTATACATGGCTAGGGAAGGTGTGGATCCCCTAAGCAAAAGAGGCACTTAGACTGCTGATCAGCTGGGGCAATGCTCTCACCATAAACAACACATTTTTAATGCAACCAGGCAGGATCCTCGGTCATGGAAAAAGAACCAAATACAGTGGTGCCTCGCTTAATGAGCGCCCCATTTAACGATGAATCCGCATACCGATGGGGTGTTGACTATGGGGGGCAAATCGCTTTGCGATTCCGCCCTCCTTCCCGAGAGCCCGCCGCCCAGCTGATAAGCGGTTCCAAAATGGCCGCCTGTTTCGCGCCTCGCTTACTGAGGCAGCGAAAATGGCCGCCCCTATGGAGGATCTTTGCTGAACGGCGAGTTTTTGCCCCATAGGAACGAATTAAACAGGGTTTAATTCATTCCTATGGGTTTTTTGTTCTGTTCAGCGATGTTTCCGTATAGCGATGTTAATCCTGGAACGGATTAATGTCGCTATGCGGAGCACCACTGTATGGTCAAAGAAAAGAACAGAAATGAACTGTGAGGAAATCAGCAGGGAGAAAATAACAAAAACAGAAGCAAGTAAGAGATACGATAAGGTAGGTAGAACAGGTCTGAAGACTTGTGCTTAGCTGGAAACTTGAACACTCTCTAAGGTGGAGACAAAGGAACTGAGGACCGATCATCAGGGTGCACCTTTAAATGAGATGGTGATACCGGAGCAGAATCAAAACTAGATTTTAGTATAACCCTTAGCAGAGAAAACAAAGGCCTCAGAGAAACTAGGCCTAGGAATATTTACACATAGCTCAGGCAAAGAGAGGAACATTCACACATCGTATGGAATGTCATTGTCACACTTTCATTTGGCCCATCCTCCTCTTGATCTGGCAGATGGCCTGGTCCTGGAATGCAGGCAGGAGGATATCAGCCATGACAGGCCAAAACATTCACACCAGGGAGCTGAAGAGGGAAGGCCATATATCAGGGCCCAGGAAGGCTACACATAAACATACTAAAAGATAAGATTATTTCCCTAGACATTCAGGTGTATCTTGTGTGCCCCTGTGCCAAGAACACAGGGGCACACAAACTGCATATCAATAGATCAGCGTAGTTGGCATCACTACCCAATGAGGGACTGGATCCAAAATTGGGGTACAAGTGAGCAATAGAATTGAAGTACTTTTATGACTCTTAGTATCATTATAAAACATATGCACACTGTATTTTTGGAATCTTCTCTGCTTTTAAGAGAAGTCCCAGCTGACCTTTTATTTACTGCTATTCAAATAAAATTGGGCCTTTGGTTCAGCTGTTGTGTCTATGCCTGATTCCTTGCCAGAGAATCTTAGAACCCAGGTTTGGCCAGTAACAATGGTATTGGGTATGGGTAGGGTTACCACCAAAAGCTTGGCTGGGGAATGCTCCAGAACATGGCAAAGGCTAACTCTGAGGCAATCTACAGAGACCACAAAGAAGAACCATGAAACTAAGGAAGAATAAATTTGCAAACTGCTAGCATTCAAACACTAATCTGAAAGATTGAGGGCTACATAAATTACTTGATGGTCAAAAAGTTGAAGAGATAGACACTACATTTAAAGCTGTACTGAGAGTTCAGGTTTACTCTCTTCTGAATATTGTCTCAAGGTAAACCAGTTCATTTGATATTGTTATGAAAGACATACAAACAAATTTCTTCATGCAACACTTGGTCAATTCATGGTTTGCTAGCACAAGAATTTGTGATGGCCTCTAACTTGTATGACTTTAAAACAAGATTAAAGAAATCCATGGAAAATAAGACAGGCCAAGTCTGAGGCAGTATGCCTCTGCATGGAAACTACTGGTGAAGAGCTGCAGTAGGAGAATTGCATAAAAGCCCTACTTGTACACCTATTAGAAGTATCTTATCTTTGTGGAACAAAGATATTCCAACAGATAGACTTATAAATCTGATTTGACAGGATTCTTCTGGTACAGGAGATTTTTCTCCAAGAAAAGGCAAATGCACCACTAAATTGCAACTTCATGCAACTGCAGTCCAAATGCAATTGTCACTTACTTTAGCACTTTTTGCTTTCTAAAGCACAGAAACGTGTCTGTCACATTTCTCAAGTACTCTAGAAAGGCTGCCCAAGTTCAGTTTTCCTCTCCTTATACATCTAGACGACTATACCCATTGTACCTATTGACTATGATATTTGGCATTTGACAGTTCTAGCCTGAACTGCTTTTCCACAGCTGCTATTCTTGACAGCATAAGAGTCTCCACTGGTGCAAACAGTAGACACAGGGAAAGGAGACAAAATTCCAGTCAAGATCCTGACAGGACAAAGTGTAATTCCCTCTCCTCTTTCAACACATTCCCAATCTAGTCCTACCACCTAGCTACCTGCTAGCTTTATGTTGAGAACAGCAATGCTAACTATGTAATAAAAATGTCAAGTTGTGTAGCCCTCAGTAGAATTTGATCCATAAATGTTAACAGGAAGATTGATCTGTTAGTCTTTAAAAAGACTGTTTCTTTCACTGACTTAGACAGTAACTTATGTCACACCCCTCTCCAGGGTTAATTGCTAAAACAAGAGCTATTTTGCAAGAGAAGAATTCCATGCATAGCTGGATTTGCAGGATTATTATTTTCTCACTTACGTATAGGCTATGAAAGTTATACATAACTTTATACATGAAAACATCAATTCTATATAAATGAAAAGAATCATACAGAATTCAAATACTGTAGGTATGTTGCTACTTCCATGCTGCAATTTTACTCCTATATTCTCATATCCTATGATTTCCTCTAATGAGTCTCTATGTAATCCTTGGTGTAGAAGCTGTTTTCCAATAACAATCTTGAAGCACTTGTTGAGGAAACTTTTTTTACATAGTTCAACAAAAAAAAGCAGAAACAACTACAATGACAGATGAATATACAACATTTCAGCAATTGTGTTCTCCAGAAAGTTTTGGCTCAATCACACAGCGACAACATATGACTAAAATCATCCCTGGGGATTTCACAGCCAAAACCTTCCATTGCTGTCTCTATCTGTCAAATAACATTAAAAGGTAATAAATGCCCCTGCATGGCCATCTTTCTTTAGAAAGTTATCTTGGATAGCAACATCCACAGAAAAAAATATAAAGATTTTAAAGAATCAGAGATTCCAAACAGATATTTATGACAGCCAATATCATTATACGTGCCTGTTGTAATATAATTCCAGAAGAATATGGTAAATAGTAAGTAATGCATTTTTTATTCTCTAGCAGTTGATATTCCAAAATTAGTAGCGTTACCATTATGGTTTTAGACGAGATGGAAAAACATTTTGAGGCAGAGAATTAGTTGGCAAAATCAAAGCATTTAAAGCATATATTCTGTTAGTTTCTATTTAGAAAAGATTTTAAAGATTTGTTTTAGAAATAAGCTTGATTACATCAAAAGAAATTAGAAGGTGCATTACACCTTCGGAGCAGAAGCATGCTGAGAGAAGCCCTCCTCAAAAATGAAACAGACAGCACAATACAGTGTACTTAAAGGTAATCAAGGCAAATGTTAACTTCAGCTCATACTTACAGAACATGGAGATATATTTAATACCTTATCACCACCCAAAATGAGCAATCAGTCTTTTATTCGTAATCACCGGCTTACCATTTGATTCTAAGGCTGTTTTTCTCTTTCACTCAGAGTGAAAGAGCACAAAAAACTTTGTTTCAGACTTCATCAAATCATAAGTTTCAGCCTGCACAGTAGGAGTTATTCAGGAAAAAAAGAGAGACAGACCAACAAGTAGAATGTCTTACCTATTGCAGTCCACGTGAAGCAGGAGGTGGGAGGCACTAAGTGACAGTGCGATCTTGTGCCACTGTCCATCTGCTAGCCGATACGGAAACACTTCTGTTCTTGACTTTCCATTAAATCTGTAGTGGTATCTTATTTCATCTCTCAAGCCACTGCTTTCCAGTTCAAAGTAACTGCATTTAAAACAAAGATAAGCAATTCCAAAGTGAACATTCGGCAACTATGCCTTCAGTGAAAACAGCTACAGTTCAAATGTTTGAAAGAAGGTTAACCAAACATCCAGAATAATGCTTCCGAAGAAAGTCTTTATCCATGGGTGGGAGAATTCTTTGATGCAAAGGCTGAGTTTGATTTCTGAGAACTTATATACAAGAGCTGGGAAATCAGCAAATGAAGGGGCCAGAATATGACCCGAAGAAGGCTGGATTCAGCTTTGGGACCTAAGGTTCCTGTCTCCCTAATGTGCCCAGATTTAGTTTTATAATTATGGCCAGGAGTTAATTATTCACTATTCAAAGCCCTTCTCTCCACAGTTAAAGAAATCCCATGTAGGGCAGGAACATGTGGAAGCCCTGAGCTATATGTCTTGGCTGGACCCTTTTTCACCTAGCATGTTTTTATGGTGAAGAAGGTAAGCAAATATATTCTGAGCTGCACAAAGTGACTACTTCTGGATTCCATGTGCATTTGACACAATCTCCCAGAGCGATGAGACTCTCTGGGGACCAAGTAGTGGCCAGATCCATTTCCACATGTTGCAGAATGATAAATGAGAAAGAAAAGTTTATTGAGAGCTTGCCAGCCAGCCAGCCACCTTGGGGTTGATAATGAGCCTGGCAAGCAACTGCATGGGATTCTCTTCAGAAGCACCATGGCATTCTGTCTCTTCCAGATCGTTAACTAAAGTCAAATTGAAGAAGTAAGACTGGTCTGCAATTCTTTCAGAAAGAAGATTTTTACTCATAACACTTAACATCTTTATGATTCCGGCCTGTTTAATTCATTACAAAAGGTAAGTAAATAGATCACGAAGAAAAGCAACACATGCAGAGCTCAGCTATATATATCTGTCACATTCCCTTCCCCCTCAGAAACATTGACCACAGTGTGAAATGGAAACCTTTGACAGAAGGTGCTCATGCAATAAATAACTGAGTAGGAATTTGTGCACAAATGCATGTCTAGTAAGGAAAACAGAAAGGATAAAAAATGAGTTTGTTATCGTCTAACACGCTGCATTCACATTTAATCTGAACAGCCATTAAAGGTGCCAAAGCAGCAAAACAAAGCACTACATATTATAGGAACTATTTCTGCCATTAGCGCACCCTTGTGAAGAAGGTGAGAATGACCCTGAATATATAAGAACAATCCTACACACAGCCAGTGCTATCAAGGGAGCAGAAATGCTTTCATCAGTAACACGAAGACATACGAAGAGTACAGCTCTTCTTGATCATCCAATGGGCAAAAGAAAACTGGGCTCCCAAGAAAGGAAAAAGATTTTGCTAAAAGTAGTTATAAATGTACACCTAAAAATGATTTTATGGTTGCATTTTATTTTGCTTTTGCTGTCACTCAGCAAGAGGCTCTGTCAGTCTCACAAAACCAGAAGCGGCTCCGAGCATTTCATCGTCAAAGAAAGCAGTGAGACAAGTACTGCCAATGAAGCTCTATTTAGAAACTTAAATGTTTCATAATTGCCTTCCCTTGTCAAGGCACAAAAAGAAATCACTCAATGCATTCTTTCCCCCTGTTCTTTAGATAAACTATACAGAAAATACATTTTTTAAAGATTCTGAAGTAAGGGAGGTTCACAGAGAAAAACATTCCTTCTTTTCATAACCTGAAATCCACATGTTGTTTCTCACACCTGAAAAACTGTCTCTCGAAAAATCTGCCTGTGAACCAGCACCAGTTCACAAAGTCAGGCTTTCCTTGCATGCCTCTGCTACAAGAGATAAAAAAATACAGCATTTAGGTCCTGGGGAACCATGGACACTAGAGAGAGTGTAAAGAAAGGTAATACTTTTCAGGAGATGATGGCAGCCTTCCACAATCCAGGTGTGGGGTTCTGCATCCTCTGCATCCCAATGAGGAAATTGCCAACCCCTTATCTTTACTATTGCTATTCATAGGAAATAGAATTCTTCAACTAAATAAGGTGTTTCAATGAACTTATGAGTGCCCCCCCCCCCAAAAGTCCTTGATTGATGTTGGGCATTCCAGAATCTGGGAGCAGCCACAGAAAAAGCCCTTTATTGCGACATCACCAGACATGCTTATGAAATGGTGGAACCAAGTGAAAACACTTCCCTGATTATCTTAAAACTAGCAGGGGCTCATACAAGGAGATACAAACTTTCAGACAACCTGAATTTGAGTCAGAAATGGCTTTAAAGACATGAAGATATCCTCAACAAAATGAACACTCTTAGGCTTCTTCCTATTTCAGGGGACTTCACGGCACCACTGAGTTATCAGTGGGAAATTTGAAGCTATAATCTAATGTCTCAGGGTCAATATAATAATAAACGTGTATCATCAAGTCAATTCAAACTTATGATGACGCTTTCAGGCTTTTCTGGGAAGAGAATATCCAGAAGGGGTTTACCATTCCCTTCTTGTGGGAGCATCTTGAGACTGTGCAGCTTGCCCAACACCACACAGTCTGGCTGCACTTGTAGGAGGCACAGTGGTGAGAAGAACTCCCAACCTCTGGCTCCACAACTAAATACCTAAACCACTGAGCTATCCAGCCAGCTTTCTGGGTCAACCTAGATGTTAAAGGCAATGACTATGCCCAAAAATTCACTTGTTTCACTTCCTCTAATGGGATCTCCTCAGAAATAATATGTTTTAGCAATCAGATTAGCAAATTCAGCTCACGAGGTACAAACCAAACCTTACTGGAATGCCAGATAGACAGGCGAGGAAAACCATGGTCTATGAGAACAGACATATCTTACCACTTGAAAGAGTGGTTGGTGTCAGTGCATCCTTCGACCAAACAGATGTTTGGCAGTTTCTAGTTCTGCCTCCTCCAGTGGGCACCCCCTCAGAGGTAGGGTCCTGCCTCTGGGTTGGTGCTTGTGAGAGGAGGTGGGGCTGGGAACTGCTGAACATCTGTGTGGTTGAAGGATGAACTGGCACAAACTGCTGGGTTTGGTCATTCATGTCCATCTCTTAACAGAATTCCATCCCTTGCAGTTACATTTCTCCCTTGAATTGCATGGGTCTGGATAGCACAGTTTTGGTTATATACAGATTTGTTTTCAATAATTAAATCAATATTCATTAGATAAATATTCAGTAAATACTATGCTGCTACTCATCTCCAGGAAGTGGCCTGAGAAAAGTGGGTCTCAGACTTGCTTAGGCCCCTCTTGGTGGTGGTGTGGCAGCCCCAATCCAAAGCAGGTGGCCCAGCCACCTCTCCTTGCATGGCAGATCTACATAGCAGCCAAGGAGGGTGCTAGGACATGCTGACGCAGATTGGAGGGAGACGTGTGTGGCTGTTTGTGCGTG